TTTTTTTGTAAAAATTTTGATTGTTGAAGATCGTACTATTATTCTACAGCGATTATAACAACCAGTTTTTTATCCGTCTTACAAATCCCTAAATCATTTTTATCTACTGTCACACCAACATGGTGCCGGCCACCGAACTAATTTGTATGCAAATTATTTAAAAGCAACTCCATAATTTACCATTACATCATAATATACATAATAAAATTATTTAGAGATGGCTGAATTGACATAATGATTATTAATTGACTTGTATAGCAAGTATTTGGTATTACCATCGTTTAAATGTATTTAACAAAATATATATTTATTCATGATATATAATTATGTTTTATTAAATATATGAAAAGCCAAATGTCAACAATTAAAATAACAATTATTTTTGACTTGTTTCTCGTTTACCACCAATTTTATCTGTTATCGTTGTTTCTCTAATAATCAATAAAAATACAATTATTTATACAGTGATGAAATTTATTCGGATAATTTAATATTGTAAAAAATCGTCAATGTATACTAAAATGCTCCCTTAGATCAAATTATGTAAAATCCTTATCAAAATTAGAGGGAATACATTCTATCCTCAACAACCAAGAATATTTGCTCATTTTATATTTAATTGAGTATATTAATTAATGGTGTTGTAGCTGACTCAATTAATCGGAAATTTGAAATCATATTGAAAAATAATGAAATATTATATATATTTATATTGTAAATACTTCTTTGCGTTTCCAAAAATACATTTTGAGAAAATGATTAATAGAGGATATCAAAATACTTTTTTTTGGATTATGTAAATTATTTAATTCATTTTAATATTCTTGTCAAAAAATAAAAAACAGAATCAAAAATAGTAAATGTAGATATAATTAATTTATTAGAAAACATGATTTTATTTCTTGATATTGTTATTGCGCAATGTAATAATAATATGTTTATATAATTCAACCAGGGTTTGGTATTCAAGTATTATAAAGTGTTTTTTAATGTTAATTTTTATCTCAACTAGGAAGAACCATGTAGGGAGTAAACCAGTTTTTATTTTAATTTGAAAATATAATAATGTATATATAAATAGTAAATTCATCAAGATATACCGACAGTCTGTGAATAATATAAAATGGACTTTAAGGGCTGTAGTTACTCTGTTATAAGGACACACTAATATAATTTATATAATTTAAAAATACACATATACCTACTATATTACGTAATACTAATATAATAATAATGGTGGTTCAAATGATATCTATGTGAGAACGGAAACTCAACATATAAATTTAAAAACGTTAGTATTACTTAGTAGGGCATAATAACTATTTACAATACCATATGACAACCTTTTCACTATATTTCGATATTTTTGTATTATGTTGATGATATTTCATCGAAAGTTCATTACAAACCTAAAAAATAACTATTCACCGCGAAATACCTTGAAATAGAGCTAATTGTTATTTGTTACCTGTTTATAGTTTGATAATTGCGGTCCCCAAATTTGAAATTTATTTTAGGGACCCCCTTAAAGTCTTGATATAAGAATTATTCACTATTCAGTGCTACCCATATAATTTATTTGAATCTATTATTTCTAAAACCTTTTTCTTTATGAAGTATTAATAATACAATTTAATTCCGTCTCTGTAGACTATAGTCTGTTGTAATTATTTATAGATAAACAAGCGACATTTACAATTTTATTATTCTAAATGATAATAAATAAAATAAATAAATATTACAGACTATTGTTGTCGTAGTGCTAGAGTAGCGAGTGCAAAGTGATAGGAATAATATAAAAATCAAAATATCAACATTTATTTATTTCGTATAGAGATTAGTTAACCAAACGAGTGCTGATTACAAGCTATTTATATAAAATAATTAATTAATTAATTAATTAATTCATAACATGATATTCACCCACGAGGGCATAGACCGTAGTGTCGCTACTCGATAATAAAGTCGACATTAGATACTAACTATAGACTATAGATTATAATAGTGTAATAGAAAGTTTTCTGATAAAAATGGTTATATCAAATACTAATCAACATATTTTAAAATTGCCTAAAAAAATCTTGTTATTTGTTCTTTAAATTATTTAGCAACCTTTGCCCTTTTTTACCAGTCAGCCCTTGGGCATACCATCAACGTAATTGAAATATTTTAAGGACATTTTAAAAGTAAATACCTGCTAAAATACAGAATATATAATTATCATATTATCATTATACAGAAAACAAAATAACGTAACATTGGATTTCTCTATCAGATCAAACGTACAAATATTAAACGCGTTGTGAAATTGTGTTCACCCAAAAATATGAACATATTGACAAACAAAATATTGAATATCCTAATATTATTGTACTGTAATTGTTGTAAATAAATATAACACATAAAGGTAAATTCTCTGGAGTTGATCGATTGCATGTTATAAACTGTAATAATTCCTAATACTTATAATAGTTGTAACACAAAATTAATACAATGTAAAATATTTTGCTTAATTTAAATGAGTAATATTTAGTACATTTATAAACACTTAATATTGGTATAAATTAATTCTGCAGTATAAGTATTTAAATTTATAAATATCGTAGTTCTTAGATTAATACCTTTTGTTCATAATATTATGTTGTCATATTTAAACTATTTTTAATATTAAATTATTAGCGAATTACGAATCTATATAATAATTAGTACTTTTCTTCAACAAATCCGTTTACTGTGTTATTTACACCATTCAATTTTCAATCATTTATATTTTTTTTTTGCGGTTTAATGATGGCAAGTACAGTATGGTGCATGTGCAAACTTTGAAAATATTAAAATATTTCAATTACGTAAATTATATAGTATAGAAAAGTAGAAAACGCTAAACATCATCTTAATGATCACCTGTTTTAAATACTAATAAAATATGTACAAAATATAATAAGTATGAATATAAATAATAAAATGTAAACTTATGAGATTAATCGACGATAACGTATATTGGTAATAAATGTACAAAATGTTAAATTTCTACAGTTTCACATGAAATTGTGGATTTACGTATCCTACACACTTAAATATTGAGCAATTACTAATAATTTTTTAACATTAATCTTTCTCAGTTATTATACACATATTAAAATATTTAATCTTCTATAAAAGATATAACCTATCACTTAAAAAAAATATATAAATTATACACATAGTTAATAAATAAATATGTTACGACAATATATATAAAGACACAGAGTAGCTAAAAACCAATAAATTGATTACTAATGTAAAAATATATACTGGCTAACTCAGGTACACTGACCTCAATTAGCAACTCTGATACATTTCAATGAGTAACAGTAGGTCATCCTGGATTTTTTCAAAAGGAATTATTGTGCTTATAATATATTTTCATAAATTACATATTTCTGAAACTAGTGGTGATGGGTATTTTATAGAATCCATTTCCATGTAAAAAGGCTTCTGATTGGGAGGAAAGGTGTTACCGTGTTGATTTGACTCATTTGCCCCTCTTCCGAGAATTTTTTAATGGCTATTAGCAAGGTTGGGATTTCATAATATTTGCATATTTCTTATGAGATGTTTAAAAAATAACAGAGTAAGTTAAAAATGTGTTTCGTGATACAGAGAACTTAATTCAAAATTTTATTTTGTTTTTTTTTGCATTTTTTGCAATTTTTTTTTAGTTTTTAGTGCTTTTTTTGAACTTTTAAGACTTTTTTGAATTTTTACCTGTTTTTGAATCAAATTAAGTTGTATTTAATGAAATTATATTTTAGCGAAAATGTGTTTTTAGATTTTCGTCAATCGAATTATCAAGTACATTGCAAATGTATAGATTTAAGTAAATAGACCGATTACGCTAATGTAACGCCTTACAATAAAATTACAGCAATAATATATAGGTACAATATAATATTATGATAATTTCGTATTAAGTATTTGGTTTTAATTTTTGTTATCTAATGATTATGTTGTTTTTATTGCATATTTAGCGATATTTAAGGTAACATCAATTATTATAGTGCATAATTATGCAATTTTAAGTGCTATAAAATTCCAACTCTGGTCATCAGATACTATATATAATATACATAAATATACCTATTTATATATATTTAACATCCAATGCATTTTTATTTACAACTATTTGTAAAATTATACATAACTGTTTATTTATTTTTGAAATTTATTAAAATTACAAACAATTTATTCGATTTTTTTATCTACATAATAAATACGCGTTGAAATGTTATTGACTGTTGTGTCCAAGTCACTTACACTCGTGTAACTTATACCTACATTAAAATTAACGTATTCATTTATATATTGAATGTAAAATATATTTTATTAGGGATATTTGAGTCTCACTCTCCAATTTAATTTGTAAGTTTATAAATGATTGCATAAATACACATTTTGATCTCGAACAATTTTTAACTATTTTATTCGAAAATTGATATCGTTAGTAAACTATATTATTAAAATATAATATCATAAAATATACTTCCATAAGAACAGATATTTCTTGCTCATGATTTATAATGTTAAAAATAATGGTATTTATTCGAATTATTGACCTAAAGGTTATTCACATCTTATCACCATAATATTCTGAGTTCTCCCCTTCTATGAATATGTATCTGAATATTTTATTTCATACATGGTAAAACGCCGATAATCCGAACATAAATCAACAGGACGTCTATTATCTGGACGATCGTAAAAAAAAAAAAAAAAATTATGACTCATAATCGTATATTTCGTCATACCATACCGTAATTGTAACCATAGATAAGATATCTACCACTATCGTGTTTATGTATAATGTATAAAAAATAAAAACTATTCCATACAGTTATCGAACGCTGGTTATTGGTCAACGCTACGGCTTCGGTAGTTCGTCATTTTTTGGGTAGGTAAATCAGTTGTTGTCTAACCTTTGCGTTTATCAGTCGTTACAACGAATGAATTACAGTGTCACTATGTCGTCTAAAAGAAAACGCGTAGTACTTACTATCAAAGAAAAAATTGACATCATTGCACAATCGAAAAGTGGTGAAACAGGCCGAGCATTAGCAGAAAAGTACGGTGTTGGAACATCGACAATTTCAGATATAAAAAAAAATGCGGACTCTATCCTTAGGTACGTGGATAATCTCGATAATAAAGAAGACACATTGACACGTAAAATGATGAAAAAATATAAGACTGAAGTTTTAGAAGATGTCGAATTTACTGGTTTCGTGCAGAACAATGTTTTTGGATTTATCGTGGGACCTAGCTACTTTGAAGAAAAAGTTAACAATGTAGCAGACTAAAAGTTCAAAAACTTTGAAACAACTAGTTTTCCAAGTCAGTTTTGTATTTTTTTTTCTGTTAAAATATTTATAGTGTATTCCTTTAAATTTTATGACATTAATTATTTGTTTATTATTACAAATGTCAAATTACATTATAAATAATAAATGCAAATACATAAATACATACGAATAATTTTTAATGTGTAAATTTGACGTTAATAAATTATTAGTATAATCAATGTTTAACTATAATTAATGAAATAGGTACGTCTAATTACATTTAATAGAAACGTTTATGTGTTATTTGGTCGGTAAGTACAACCAGAAATTTAGAAGTTAAATTTTGTTTTTTATAAAAAAAAATAATGCGTTATCAATCATTACAAATGCGGAAACTCTATGCTCTTAAATGTTAAATGAATAAATAATATGTACAAGACACTCAATAGAGATGGACTTGGATTACAGAGGTCTTGGTATATTAGGAGCCCATTGAAATTAATTTATAATTTTTTTTTTAATTTCAAATACTTATGGTATGATATATATATATATAATATATATTCATCGTCATTTTTATATTGTTATCTGCGGATAACTATTGATTATTTTTAAATTATCATGTATAAGACATATGTTTCATTTGTAATGTGTTGTAACTATTTTCGTCTAGAATAGTATTACATTTTAATATCTATACCCACTCTGTGTTGCCATCACAGAGTGATGATTTTATTACACTTACCTCTTAGTTCCATATTTCCAATAATTTAAAAAATATTATAATAAAAAACATTTTTATTATCAAAATGCTTATTATTTTTAAGTTTTATTAGAGTTTTTGAAACTATATAGTACAGGAATTCAAAAATTAGCGTGGGAACTTAATTATACTATAGTTTAAAATTTTTCAAAACAACAATTTTTTAAATTATTTTGTAGTTAAAAATTGATGAAATTTTCAATTTAATAGACTTGAAAATCTATTACGAGATTCTATATCTATAGTAATTTTATTCTTTCAGAAACCTAAATAATTTAAAACATAATATACACAGCTACTATAGACTTAAAATTTTAATAAAATTGATTTGAATATTTGTATCTTTTCATTACTAAAAATTTACGTATATTATAATTTATTATAAATAATTTTTTTTTTTCCAAAATATTAATTAAAATTTTAAGATTTGTATATCACGTAGAAATAAATTAAAAATGAACTACTATCATTGTTCCATTCTAAAATATGATGTCTACTAATTTATTAGTTTTCACTAATAGTGCAAATATAGTGCTTTTGTCAAATTTTATTTAATAGCCGTAAAGATAGCTATAGATATAATTTAATATCATAATATTACTGTAAGTATTTTTTAATGCATTTTCTCTAATGAAAAATAACCTTTAATGGATTTGATAATACAACATATATTTTATTTTTGTTGCGTCTAATTGATTGGCACTTAATCATTTGCAATTCGTCTAGATGAGTGGACATTGAATGCATAAGGGCACACGCCCATAAAAACATTAAGGTATATTAATTTTAGAATAGAAATTTTAAACAATAATTTTAGAACAAGGAATGTATTATCCTGAAATCACGTGATCCTTTTAAATGGTAAAAACTAGAATTTTCACTATTGAGCACTGCTGATGATTCCATTTAATAATTGTAGAATTTAAATGGACATTTCATTTAGAAATAAAATAACGTGATCAAATTTCAGACAAATTCGTTTTAAATTTATAGGATAATAAAAACAACTATAATACATATTATTAACTGTTAGGTATATGTCTATACATAACTTTTTTGATAAATATCTGTTGTCACAATAATACGACAAAAATGATCCACACTTATATTTATTTAGTTGACTATTTCAATACTATAATACGCTAGAATCATACACCGATAAATATTGTAAGATATATCGATAAGTATTTTTTTATTTCCATGTCGATGCACAATAAGCTGAACCATAAATTAAATATAATTTGGACGTACGATACCGAACGTATTATAACAAATCTTATCGAATTTTAAATATATTCTTATTTTACGTATCGTCGTCGTCATTGCCAAAAAACAACAATATTCATTTTGAATTATCCAGATACTCAAGTGACGATAACGTTACTAATGGTTTTGTTGTCTTGTAGAAAATAACGTTCGTCTTGGCGTGTTTGTAAAAAAAAAAAAATAAATATCGCTTTAGACAGGTATTCAATAAAACTAACCATATCTTAGGGCTCTTATGCTACGATTATAACTATAATTAACATGAATCTCACCCTTACTATTATAATCGTGTTATTTAATATGATTATTATTTTTTTATATATACGACCGTAATTATTATTTTGTGTTTAAAACGATACACATTACACATATACATACACACACATAAGAAACCGTTGTTAAAAAGAAATTTATTATCGATGAATATACAATAGGTACCAATTTTGGGAAGGTAAATTCAAAATATAAAAACTATTTAATTATATATACCCTACGTGACTGCGGCCAAATATGACTAAGCAGGTATATCGTAGGTAAACGGACCCTTTCTATATTATACACGCCTCCCCTCTCAAGGTGTCAGTCGTTTCGAATTTTTGTTATTGTTGTTAACGTTTATAGAAGAGTATTAATTATCATAAATTTTAATTTGTACCTACACCGTACACATTGCGGGTTGATAGATATTTTATAACTCTATAATTAATAGTGAATCTGAAGGTGAGTCGTGGAGATTGTCATTCCTTACCGGGACTTTTTTCAAATTAAATTGTGTCGAACTAAATTGGCATAATATACTACCTTATTGTAAAACATTGCTTCCTTAAATATTTTGATTTAGATACCACTAAATCCAAGTTTAAAACTTTTATTTTGAAGTTTTGATGAGCCTGTATTGATTTGACAATGATGTATGAAGGTGCGTGTGTGTTTGTTTTTTTTTAATTAACATAGATAATTTTAATAATAGATAAAATGCTTTAGTCTTTGAATTCGGAAATAATCTTTGGTAATAAATTAAATTTAATGGGTGTTTTTGGAAATAAAAAAATCGCTAGTACTTGGCAAAACAATCAGATTATCAAATACAAATTAGAGAAATTTAAACATATAATTATAGAGAATTTAAATATTGTCATCAAATATTTTCATTTTTTTTTTTTTTTTATTATTTTCTATTTTTATATAACTGAATTATTAAGTTATTTGTAAGTAAAAACTATGATAGCTGAATTCTTGTAATTATTCCTTACATAGAATATAATACAATTTTTTTTTATAAGCATACTAAGTTACATACTCTACTAAATTCTATAAAACCAGGAATAATTTATAATAATTATTATAAAGTTAAAAAAAGTAGGCAAGATTAATATTTGAGCATTTAGGTATAATAACTCCAAAATAACATTTTCTTATCAAGTTTTAGTTAGGTATATCCGACGTCGATGATGCATATGATACTGTGCAAATAAGAAGCAATATATATTTTTGTAGAACGTTAATAATATTTATTAATTTTATTAAAAAATTAAATTTTTTGTAACTAAAAAGTACAAAAATTAATAAAATAAAATGTATAAATAAATGTTACTTGTATTAATCTTTTCACTATATGGCATTGAAAAAAACATTTTCACAAATATTATAAATTTACTTCTTAGATAGCGTACACCAAGTTTCGTGAGGATAGAATAACTTGGTAAAAATTTAAAGGTTGCACCTTGCAATGTACACTAATAGTCAGTATAATAAAACTTTATATTTAAAAATATTCGTTTGTATAATGAAGTTAATATTAAATAGAAATATATTATGTACAAGAAAACTATTATATTTTTTTTTATGGTTCCTAGTCCACTAAGTATAGTTCAATGCCATAATAATAATAATATTAGAATCATAAAAAACATTATTGTTATTTATTATCACAGATTTTAATCTTTTTACAATTATGAATTTAAAACTTTTTTGTACAGAGATTGCATCTTGTGTTTTAGTTTTACTTATTTAATCACGAACTTAGTGATTTTATATTGTTGTAAATAATAATCAGTAACTTAAAACCAATGGGAAAAAAATAAAATAACTTTTAATTAAAATAAAATTTATTTAAAAATTAAAATTTAATTATACTTTATTATTATATTGTAGTTAGTGACAAAATGTAACTAAATTTTAATTTTATAAAGTTGTCGTTTGATTTGACCAATTCCATTCCGTAATTTTTAATTTACATATCAAATTTAGTAACTTTCATTGGAATTAATAATTGTATAGACTATCACATTCTAACAATATCATTATTTTATTATTTTAATAATTATTTAGTTTAAAGAAAAAAACGATCAGTATAAATAAGGGCAATATAGATTTTTTACCTAAAATATTTTGATATCCTGTTGTAATTCGTTTGTCTGTAACAACTAGAATTTTTCACCAAAGATAAGTATTTTATAGATAAAATAAAAATAAATATTATATTGGAGCTCTAATTGTATTGTGCTATTTATAGACTTTTATAACTGATTAAAAAACTTTTTATAACTATTTTTTAGAAGCGTTTAAAATTTATATTTCGATAATTAATTTTCCTAAGTAAAATAAATGTTTCTTCTCAAACTTTTTTTTTCTTATATTTAATTTAAAAATAATTTATTAACGGAGTTTGAAACGTTCCATTTTTATTTAAGTTTTCACTTTTTTAACTCGATACAATTTTCAAAATGTTATAATTAATATTATTTTAAGCTATTTACCACTTACTTATTCATGCCATTTCTATAGGTTTTTTAATTTATAAATTATAACAATGAGTAAAAATGTTAACGCATGATGTAAAATAACTAATAAAATATATTATAAACGATTTTATTAGTATTCTTGAATATAAATGGCATACCATAGTACATGCCTACTTGACAGCTATTGTACCTATAGCCTATAGTCTATAATAGATTAGTATGTACCCTGTACACACTAATTCACC